CACACATACATGCAGTAGAAGAACTGCAGTCAATAATTTACATGAAGCACATGACATTTATTTAGTGATTCACTAGTCAGGATAGAGTGGTTTTTATATAGATGGAAAGGAACAACAACAAAAAGGTCATTAATGGGGGTGAATTGTTAGTAGTAGTATTAATAGATGTATCCTATTTCATTGTTCTATAATTTTTCTATAATCACCCAGAAACAGCAAAAAGCGGTGTTCTTGTGATTTTTAAAGAAACTTTATTGCATTTCCCTCTTATACTTCAACTGGAAATACATGTTTACTCCAAATATATCCATATAATTTAAAACACTAATTTGTAAAAAAAAAAAAAAAAAAGAAAATCGTACTAGAGTTTTGCTCTCTGCCTCCCCAGCATTGCCCCTTCTTGTAGGATTCATCCTAGATTTATGTTTGGGAATCCAAATAATCAAGGATGTAGATTCCTTAGATTTAAACCGATCCACATATCCTGTTATTTGGGTTTGAATGATTGGCTCCCAGAGGAGCACCTCAATGAGAGGTAGCAAGAGGCAAGGGAATTTTTCCAGGAATGTTGTAAAAGAGGCTTCTTTTATTTTCCCAATGACACACAATCTGGAAGCATGTGAGGAGATGATTCAGCCACCTTGCCACCACAGTGGAAAATCCTGGAGCTCCTCGGATCATTTCATTGAACCTCTAGAATAAAACCAAACCAGGGACAGACAGGGCCGATAGATGAAGAGAATCTGAGTCCTGATAACATTTGAGCCCCAAATCCGTCTATGTTGGAGGCCTTACTTCTGAATATTTCTGATACTGATTAATTTGAACTGGTAAAGTCTCTTTGACTGTTTTCTTGTCACAATCTGAGGAGTCCTAACTGAGACACATCTTTGGTTAGAGTAGGATGTATCGAAGTACTGGCAGTGTGTTTTCCAAAGATAGTGCTCCCAGGAAATTTCTCATCAAAATGTTTCTGTGGTCAAATACATTTGAGAATGCTAAATGTAATACCATATTTTTCTTCAGGAAAATTACATTTGAAACACCAGTTCTTTCATTAAAACCCTTTGCACTTAAAGTAAAAATTATTTGTCATGTGGCCTGTAAGATTCTGCATGAACTTACCCTTCATTGTTTCTCTTGCTTCATCCTGGGCCTCTTGTTTGCCAACCCCTAACCACATCAGCCTTTTCTTTCCTCCCATGTAGAAAACTCTCTCCTGCCTCAAGGCTTTAGATTTCTGTCCACTGGGCTGGAATGTTCCTCTTTTTCTAGATAATTCCTACTTCTTTCTGCTTCAGCTTAAATCTTACTTCTTATCAGAGATCATTCCTAAATCCATCCTCCAATTAAATCATCGGTAACTCTCTTTGTTCATTCTCCAGGCATCTTATTCTTTCTCTTCTTGGCACAATACAATATCCTGCTATCTAAATATTTTATATCTTAATTTGTTTAACTCACTCTTCCCTTTGCTTTGGAAACCCTGTGAGGATAGAAACCATGTCTGATTTGTTGATGTTTATTTGAGCAAAGCATGGTGCTGTTCCTGGCACACAGTAGGAACTGGAGAAGTATTTATTGACTAAATGCTATGTAGAGCCGGGAGGCATCTTAGCATATTATAGTGTTTCAATAAAGAATCCTGTTTAAATATGTTTAATCCATAATTTACCAAATTTATTTTAAAACAACTTTTTGTGAGTGATTAACATGTATGAGTATTCCTAGATACTATAATTCTATAGCTCACATTTCAAAAAACACTGTTTTACATTGTTTAGGTCATTTGTAGTTTAAGGACTCACATCTAAAAGCCTAAGCTTACGCTTTTATGAACATTGGATGAGTCTAAGCTTCAAAGGCTCAAATGAGACATGGCAGCAATGATATTTGAGGCCATTAACCCCAACAATTTTAGGGAGCATTATATAGCATGCGTATGTAACTTTTCCTATGCTGTTTTTGGGGGGAGGATTTTAAAGTATTTATCTTAAAGATCATTAGCATGGACATTTGTATGATATTAGACTCTAAAGAACTAGTGTATATTCCATAAAGAAATTATCCATTGTGCATTGAAGAATATTGTTCAAGCTTTTATTTTTTAGGCATTCCTTAAATTATATAATGGCAGTCAAATACATTGTTATGAGAATTAGATACTACCCCAGGGCATGTTCTAAAGTTCATATTAGAAAAGGCTAAAATCCCAATAAGTGGTGATGATTTTAGCCATGTCCACATTTACATTTGAAGTGTACATTTTACCAATATAGAAAATTCCATATTAAGTGTCTTTTTAAAAAAAATCTCCAAAGAGCATGTAAAGCTGACAGTTGCATTACCTTCCTCGAAGAATTTTGAGCTTATCTTTCTGAGCTCTGCCAAAAACAGATGAGACAATCCAGGAATATTTCAAATGACCACACACATCAACAATCAAATCTTCAAGCTCAGTTTCCTAACTCTAGAGCACAATGGAGTGCAGAAAGCATTGAAAATGTCCATTAAGCTGAGCAGATGTAGAGTGAACTATTATTTGCTCTCCCAGTTGGAAGTCTGCCCCAAATGCACTTTTCTTTCAAAAGCCACAAGCTCATCATTAACCACACACATGCATGACTTGCTCAAGTAAGGGTTGAGGAAATGTCATCAGCTGGACCTGACACTCGTCATTCTTCTGCCCATCTAGATCTACTTTCCCAACTTAATTTTAAGCCAATGGATTTTGAACCAAAACACACCGAGGAATGTTACAATTTTCCACTTATGGTTTGCCCAACACCATCTGTGATGGGTTTGTTGATGTGTTCCAATTTATTTTCAACAGCTGTGGAAGGTAAGAGATTTTTCTCTCTTTCTTATCCCCACAGTAGAACATAAAACAAACCCTCATCCTTCTGGAACTTGCACTTAGAAAGCCTGGACAACAAAAAGGAGATTCTTTTCGTGGCACCTGAAAGCAAGATCAGAGACAGAGGGTCATTTTGATAAAATAGCACACAGGTATCCTGCAAAAAACAGACCCTAGCTATGCCAAAATCTGTTTGTCCTTAGAGATATGGCACTGATATCAAACCAGTAAGAGTTTTTCTAATTGGCTCCCTTCATTTTCCCAACTCTCCTTGAATTTGAAGCTTCTCTAGTTTCATCCAAGGGAGGAGAAAAACTATTGGAACTGCATAACGGATGCCCTCGACCAAAGGAGGAAGAGAAAGAGTAGGAAGGACTATGGGAGGAGAAGGGTGATGGTGTGTGAAAGTTGACCTAGAAGGCCAGTGGTGAAGGGGTGAAGACAGAGTAACCCTCCGAAGTAACAGGCTCTATGAGAAGGAGAGGGCAAGACTATGCAAAGGAGAGCATGGTTGTCAGGAATTGGTGGAAAGATTCCTGTAAGATTGGCTACCAGGTAAGACACCGCTGTGAGCAGTCTTTTGCAGAAAGGATTGTTCTGCACATTCCTACAGATGACTTGTATGTGACAGATGAGCCTGCACTAATTTATTTTCAGTGATGCTTTGTTCTGTCCCTCTTGTCCAATGTTGAGAGCAGAGTAAGGAAGTTTTGACAAAGGTTAAAATAAACACCTCATACAACCTGAGACACACAGGAATAAATATATTAGACTGTCATTTGGAGAATATATGTATATTTTTAAAACAAAATTCTAAATCATTTTACACAATATGAAATATATATATGTACACACACACACACACACACACACACACACACACACACCCACCCCATTCCTCTGGGGTCAGTGATGGTCTCATCAGTGGTGGCCAACATATTTCAAGCCAGAGGTTGAGTATCATTTAACAGGCTTTAGTTACAATACAATGAGCACTGTCATTTTCATTTGAGAATGTAGAAGAGTAAATTATACTTATAAGCTTCACATTATGTGTAAGTTAAAAAAAAAAATCTGTCCAAAACAAGATGGACTATACTTTTTCTGCAAAATTTTTATTCAATTTTTAAATATATGAAAAGGGCCAGGAGTAAATCGTCAAAGAAAGTCTTAATAACATTGCAAAAAGAATAAGAAATCCAAATAAACACCAAAAAAATCTTTAATGAAGGAAACAAAGAAAAAAAGAAGAAATAGCCATCAAGAAATTCAACTTTCAAAACCTGAAAACACAGTCAGCTAGAAAATGTACAAATAGAAACAGGAAATTAAGAAAATAGAAGAAATAGTTTCTAAAATGTAAGAAAAAACCACCAACAAATGGAAGAAAAAAGAGCTTAATTATATTTAAAGTACAGAGATGGAGATTGAGGTCAGCTA